CTAATCCCTATTGCCTTGCTTACAGAAACTGCCTCTCCGGTTAACCCTTACTACATTGTAACAGCTAAAGCAAAGCACCCATCGATGTGAGTGATGTTGAGTTGGCCACACCCACACGGTCACATGACCACCGAGCCACGCTCACCCAGCTGGTCATAAGGGCAGAGAACCGGTTGTTCAATTATTTGAATCCCACCACTGACTGCAGTGATTCACTTAACAAATGTGTCAAGAGAGGTCGTAAAATGGGGCAAAATTCACTTAATAAATGTCTTACTTGGCCAAATAAATTTTGGGCTCAATTGCTGTTGCAGGTTGAAGACGAACTGTATTTTTTTTAACCGACAAATTCTAATATCCAAGGACTTCTGAAAAAAAGTACTGTCCTGCTTCTGTGCCCCTAAATTTTTTTCACAGACCTTGGAGTGTAAAAAAAAAAGGCTCTGTTTTTTGGGCAGAAACTCTGCACTTTTAACGCCCGTATGGCAGACAGCAATTAAAGGAATGAATAATCCTAAAAAATAATAATAATGCTGATGTCCATAATACTGAAGCCATGTCCACTGAATTTCTGCTCATCATTTTCATGATGAATTACACGATGAAATATATTTTCATTGAATTACTCATTCCATGGTGTGATATATAATTAAAGTCCCCTCCAATGTTGGAGGTAAAATTGTATGCTAATTTTAACTAGCTGGCTGGCTTCAGGTAAGTTGGCACAAGGAATAAGTGGGCTATGGTTGGTTTGCTCTAAGATTCATGAACTGATGCCCAGGACACCGTTTTAAGTGGGGACTTTCTTGAATGTGGAAGTGAGATTATTTGGCTCAAAACGAAGATTAGCTCTGATCGCTAGAAAGCAAAAGCAACAAATAATATAAAGTGACACCTAGAGGCAGAACATGGTGTTACAGGACATTGCGCTGGCTTTGCTGAAGCAGAAGAAAAATTAAACAGAGACATTAAACATGGCTTTTTCAAGACAAAATAAAGCTAAAGAGCAATAGTTTGTGTAAAATAGCAATAACAATATATTAATAATCATTTATACTCCACTTTTCTTTCTGGAATACAACATGATTTCCCTATGATAAGGCCATGAGGAGCTAACTCACTAGCAAGGGCCTTCTCTGTGGTGGCTCCCTCCCTTTAGAATCATTCCCCCAGCGATAAGATTGGCCCCAACCTGTTGCTTTTCTGCAAACCCTTGAAGAAACCTGATTCTCTTGTTGATGTTGTAAGGCCAGAAGTGGACAATCAATGGCCCCTCCCAAAGGAAATAAAAAAGGAGCAAAAGGGAAGTGGAGNAAGAAGAAGAAGAAGAAGAAGAAGAAGAAGAAGAAGAAGAAGAAGAAGAAGAAGAAGAAGAAGAAGAAGAAGAAGAAGAAGAAGAAGAAGAAGAAACATACTGCAGATCTGGCACAAATGTTTGGAGACCGTTCAGCTCCAGGTATGAGAATCCGTTGAATTCCGGCAGGAAAGGCACGGTCTGATCCATTTCTGCAACTAAGAGAAGGAAGGAGAAGAGGCAGTGCGGATAAAACAACAAAAGTCACTTGCTGTGTGTGTGTGCTAAGTGGCGGCTGGCTGAATAAACTGGGTTTGTGCCTTTCGCCAACCCCAAATCCAACATACCGCAAACTATCTGTGGATCGAAAGCTGCCACAAAAGGGACTTACAATTAAAAGTGGATAATATTTCTTCAATTTTAAATGTTTAAAGTCATGTCACAAGACCCTTGGAAATCCCGGCTGGCTGGGTGGGTGGGGGGGAGGGAGAGGAAGCGTTATGTCACGCCTGAAGCCATTTTTACTTTCGGATCTTTGGCCTACCACACTTTCTATTATTCTACTATGAATTTTTTATAGTGGGAAAATAGGAGAGGGGAATTGTACAGAGGTAGATGCTATGTAGCCATAACAACATTCTTTCTAGAAACCCAAGGTCATCCTTGGGGGCGATATGCTGACTCTGTAAACCGCTTAGAGAGGGCTGAAAGCCCTATGAAGCGGTATATAAGTCGGACTGCTATTGGTATTTACACCTCTGCACTTGACCGGAACTGGATGGGTGGAAGCTGCCAGCATGGCAGTGGGAGATTGAACCATGGGATGGACTGGTGGGCGTGAGGGCAAGATATTAAACTTTCAACTAGGTGGAGAAAACCAGGAAGCTTTCAGATTCAGGTTTTCCCAGATGTGCCAACATGGCTCTCTTAATCAATTGGAACTTTGAGGAATCTTTTGCCTCGGACTCCGATTTACTTTTGGATGCTATTTGGAACCCCGACAACATATTTGGGAGCAGGATAGCTTACTACTGAAGCTTCCTTCGTGTTCTACTACCCCATTTTCCCAAGAAATAGGCATAATACTGTGTTTTCCCAAAAATAAGACAGGGTCCTATATTCTTTTGAACCCTGAAATAAGCACTTGGCCTTATTTTGGGGGAGACCTTATTATTTTTGAGGTGCAGGTTTCTTAGCCTCGGCCCGCAGATCAGCTGATCCAGAAAGGGCAGGATGTTCTGTCTCTGGCGCAATCTTGCCAGTCCTAGTTCTTTTTGAGGCCACCATTAAGAGAAGGGGCGCGAGAACTAGGATTTACGAGAGCAGCTTCCACCCCTCCTTCCCTCCCCAGGAAATGGCGGGGGATCAGCTGTGCATGCATTTAAATATTTTCGGGGAGGGCTTATTTTAGCGCATGCACTCGAAAGCCCGATTGGGCTTATTATATCCGGGGAGGTCTTGTTTTCGGGGAAACAGGGTATTTGGAAGGAGCATGATCAGTCTTACGCCAGGACAGCTAGCTGGGGGAATTCTGGGAGTTGAAGTCCACCTTTCTTCGAGTCGCCAAGGATCTTCCTTGCAACTCTGATTTCGGGGATTTGTAATTAATTCCGCCGGGGGTGATTTTAAAAACCTCTTATCACCGCTGCGTCCCGATCTCTCCTTTCCCTGGTCCCGCTTTACCTGATTCGCAGAATTCGCCTCCGCGGCCCATGGGGCATTCGCATTTCGATCCGCCTTCTGGCAACACCAAGCAGGTGGCAGAGAGGTGGCAGGGGTTGGGGTCGCAGGGATTTCTTTCGTCGGCACAGGTGGGTCCTAGGGTACATGCGAAAAAGAGAGAGAGAGAGAGAGGGAGGGAGGGAGATAGCAATAGCCCTTAGACTTATATACCGCTTCGTAGTGCTTTGACAGCCCTCTCTCAGCGGTTTACAGAGTCAGCCTCTTGCCTCCCCAACCATGTAGCTAGGCAGCTAAGTCTGAATGATTCACAACCGTTTGCAAGAAAATCGCCCAGCTTAAAGAGCACCAAGGACCCCACAGTCCTCCTCCTTCTCCTGCAACTTCCCACCTCCCTTCTAGCACTGATCATGTTACCTAGTTGGGTGATGAAACGTCTGCAAAGAAAATAACCCAGCTCAGACAGTGCTAGGGACCTCGCAGTCATGGTCGTTGTCGTTGCCGTTGTCGTCCTCCTCCTCCTCCTCTTCCTCCTCTTCCTCCTCCTCCTTTTCTTCTTACTATTACTACTCTCTGAAACCCCTATGCTTGTCTAGCCTGCAGCCATCTTTTCTTTTGGGTCTTTGGCCTGCCACACTTTTTATTCTTCCACTACGCATTTTCTATTGTGGGGAAATGGGAGTGAGGGATTGTATGGAGTTAGATGCTATGTAGCCATAACAACATTCTTTCTAGAAAGCCAAGGTCATCCTTTGTCTCTGCACCTCCTGCACCTGCCCGGAACTGGATGGGTGGAAGCTGCCAGCATGGCAGTGGGAGATTGGATTGTGTGATGGACTTGTGGGTGTGGGGGACAGGATGTTGAACTTTCAACTGGTGGGGAAAACCGGGAAACTTTCAGATTCGGGTTT